CTCTCTCTCTCTCTCTCTCTCTCTCTCTCACCTATCTGCCTTCTTTTTGTCTCTCCCTCATCCGTCCATTTCTTAATCATATATTTAATATCTATAATTGTAATAATAACACATATAACTAAAGACGCCCGACAATGACTCCACCAACAGTAACACGTATATATAGTAAAGTAAATAAAATAATAATGACCTTGACAAACACAACCGTCATTATATACATAAAATTGATACCAATAATACAAATCAGTAAAAAGCAAGAATAAAAATAGCATAAGAACAGTAATGACAATAATAAGAGCAACAACAACAAAACAGAAACAAAAAAGAAAGACATCAATAATAATTACCCAGTGCGTACTAACCTCTGCCATTACCCCCAAATCACCATCTCGCTACGTGTGTGGGGTGGGGGTGGGGGGAAGAGGGAGAGGAAGGGAGGGAAGGAGAGAGGGAAGGAGAGAGGGAAGGAGAGAGGGAAGGAGAGAGGGAGGAGAGAGGGAAGGAGAGAGGGAGGGGAGGGGAGGGAGAGGGAGAGGGAGAGGGAGAGGGAGGAGGGAGGAGGGAGGAGGAGAGAGAGAGAGAGAGAGAGAGAGAGAGAGAGAGAGAGAGAGAGAGAGAGAGAGAGAGAGAGAGAGAGAGAGAGAGAGAGAGAGGGAAAAAAAAAAAAAAAAAAAATCCACATTGGTGCAAAACCCTTTAATTCTATTTTCAATCTCGACACTGATGCAGACCTCAAGCAAAATACAGACAGCTGATCTCACAACCACAACCCACAAAATTTAATCAAAATCTGCCTCCAACTTTTCGCAGTGTTTAATGGACAATCCACTAAACTATGATGATGATGATGATGACAAATACTGTCACTGCAGCAGCAGTAATAGTAATGTTAATTGATGATAATAATGACTATATTAAAAATAATAACAAAAGTAATAATTATGAGAAAAAACATATTATAAAAAACAATAACACTGAAAAAGTAATCACTAAAAATAATAAAGATAATGAAAATACACTAATAACACTAAGAACTACTGTACATGTAACTAGAAGACTTTTCATAATTTTGGGAATGATAAAGCAATGAAACATTTATCATCATGATGTACATTCAGATTAGTATGAATAAAAATGCAAATTAATGAGTTAATTATAACTAATACATATGCATATGAATGACTCTATATGTGTGCATAAGTGAGTAAGAGAGAATGTGTTTTGAATTATACATCAAAGCACATAAGCCTACAAAAGGCTAAAGATACCTATCATGGCCTGTGTGAATAGATGCAAATAATATGGAAAACCAACCTTGAATGTTCTCTAACCCTACCTCGAATTCATGGAGATGTATATTGGCGCAGACACACACACACACACACACACACACACACACACACACACACACACACACACACACACACACACACACACACAAATTCTGACATACAGAGACATTATCAACTAAGGACAAGAAATTAACCAAGTGCCAGCACTATCAATAACTACACTAATCTAGCCTCTAACTCGGGACAGGTTAGAGCAAGGAATCGAGTCGCCTGGGACCATATGGGGTGTCCTAAGTACATCCTCTTGTTAGTTAGCTTATATAATTACGTAGATATGTTACGAAACTTATCTGTCAAGGGTCATGGACAGGTGTTGTGGTCAAAGCACTCTGGTTGGTTAGGTTATCTAGGCCTTGTAGATCTGGTACAGGTTATCTAAAGTGCACAGGGACAAATTTCCTGTTTATTCTGGTGGCACCGAGGAAAATCTGAATGTCACACTGCTCTACATGCTGTCCTAATAAGTATGTTAAAAACGTTCATTTACCCATAAGGTTGAGGTCTATTTAAGAAAGGAATATATAGCATTCTATAATGTATACTGTCTTAAATTATAATTTGCAACAAGATCTACATATTCAGAAAAAGACTCATAATTTATGCAAGGGATCTGCATACTTCAAAATTTTCAGTAATTACATGTGACAGCTTATAAATAAAGTTAATCCAGGAAGTTATGTCCTTTCAGCTATCCAAGAGTAATCTTGGTAAAATGTCTGAACATTGTTCTTTCAACCTCTGAATACAATAGCAATGTGTTTCATTTGTTTCAGCTATGAAAACCAGAGTCCGACTGATGTGAGGATCTGTGAATCCTTATCAGGCAGATCAATTTATAGGGTGACTAATGCATGAATCCTGCAGAGTCAGTGACTGAGGTGCACTGGATGCAAGGCAAGGTTTATTTATTTTTCTAATTTTTTTCTTTAAAAAAGTGTGCCTCAGTGGCTGGCAAATACGGAATGTGTAATTTCAACTGCTTACTGATGACAAAATTCTGGAGTGACCAGTTGTAGCTCTCAAATCTGGGTCACCTTAAGGCAAGAAACATTTCTGTTGTAATAATCATGATAGACATCATAAAGCAGCATCTTAAAGAATATTATAAAAACTATGCCTACAAAAAATATGGTTCTAAATAAATTGCTTGAATGTTTTTAGCAATTTTTGGAGCATTTTGAATGAGTCCAGAGATTCTAAGCACTGTTACCTCTCCATCTTAGGCTTTCCTATTTGCTTAATATATTACCTTCATTAGCAACTTCTCAGAGACAATCATTTTAATCTGAAGTTACAGGAAACAACCCATTGTGGTCCTAATCTTCTAGAATGAAAATTTTCCACTGTTCTCCAGGTAAATCTTACTGATATAGCAGTATTGCAATTACTTAAATTATGACCAAGAATCCTCACTATTCCAACAAAAGTCAATAAATCTTCGTTATGTAACTTATGATGGCCTCATTAATTCACCATAACTTGTCAACTATATTGCCAGAATACACAACATAGGAATATAGAAGGAATATCAGCCAATGCCATCACTTTAGTCACTACCTGAAGATTTAATGTTATGTATCACAGATCGGAGTAAGTCGGTCACACAAGTGTTCACTGCTTAAAAAATGCAAGGAGAAAATCCTATTTAGAATCACACAGTGGGCGTAAAGGACACGTTACCATTTTCCACAGTAGTAGCAGTTCCGGAACATATGTAACCGTAGGAACCATCGCCAACCACTGCCACCATGGCTACATGAACACTTTACTTTACCATGCCAAGGGGAACCTGTGACCAATGCCTGGTCTATTTTCAGTTCCAAACAGAGACCAGATTTGGGGAAGCTCCTTCCCTACCGCCTCTTTAAGTCAACAAACCTCCTACTCATAACTATATGGAGAAAGCAATAAAAGGATATGCTGAATTTGTTCAACGCCTAACTCTCCTGAATTTTTTCACTCATACTCCACTCTATCCATGTATAATGAATGAGTAATGAAAATCTTGAGGTTTCTCTGCTATTCACATTGTAATTGATCACGGAATGATGAATGAATCACATTGGTATCTATATTACAGCGACACCTACGAAGTTTCTGGCACAAACACTGGTATTAGACAGGTTCTTCCCAGATCATCGTTTCACTATTGCACTTGTGGCACTGTGGATCATTAATCACTGAGCAAATATTAGAAAATAAAAATGTATATATATATATATAAAACAAAATAGTAATAATGTTATCAATACCAACAAAGATAATAATGAAAAAGAAAGAAAAAAAAGATCACAGCACATATATGAAACACTTCAGATCCAATCGAAAATTCATAAAGGTCGCACAGAATAAATAACTTATGCCCATAATACAGAATCTATTTCTTTTCTGCATACATAAATAATTTAACTCTTTAACTGCCAAATTTTGAAATGAAACCAGATAATACTGCTAATGTAAAATTCTAAATGCTTCATATCTGTCACAATCAAAGACTATCTGAAAAATAATAAAATACAGAGAATATTAAAAAATGAATAATTTAATAAATTATCACAACTTATAAACATAAATGGGCAGTTGATTGTCTTGAGAACAAAAAATCAATATTTATAAACACAAGATGAAGGCTAATCTTTGATAAAATGGGGGAAAAAAAAATCCACTGAAAAACAGTAAATTACTGTTCTAATGACTGATGTATCTAATTCCCTGTACTGGAAATCATGCATTTTAAGCAGTAAATGCAAATGCTAAATATAAGGATTCTGTAAGTCACAAAAGTAAACTAATCACAAAAAATAATCACATTCTGTGCACATGTCATTTTTTTTGACATTTATAGCATTTGCACACCTGGCCTCTCAAATGCACACGGAATAGACTTTGCTCACCGTAAAATTTCCTTCCTGCCTAATTTTGCCAATCTTAAAAATATAATGAATTAGGAAAATTACATTTTCTTACGACAGGCGATAGCTGTTATCCCATTCCTCCTTTAGACTGACCATAACTTGCCAAAATCATCGAAGTATATTCAAAACTAATTAAATGTTTCAATAATTTTGCTCAGTAACTCCCAAAAAAACATTAATTCAATAGAAATATATTTTCTAGTTCGATTTTAACAACAAAACCTTCATGAAAATCGAACGAGGAGAAAGAAAAATCATCAAGACGCTCAAATCGAGAAATGTCAAGAACCCAAACTAAAGAACAAACAAAAAAAGATTTTAAAAAAATCAAAATAAACAACATAGGCCTACACACGTCCTGAAGAAAACAAAAAAAAACACCCCAATTAACGACGACGAGACGAGAAACGACGAGAACCCCCCACTCAAACGGGGAGAAACTCCATGAGAGAAAAGAGAATAACCAAAGCGAAGGGGAAGAAAAGGAGAAAGAAAAGAAATAAAGCGGAGGAAAAAAGGCCTCCCGCTCGCCCTCCGCCATCACCGCCATGGCCAAACCCGGACCTCTTCCCCCGCGCTCTTTAAACTCGGCTTCCTCCCCCCCTCGCGCCATTACGCCCCGTGACAACTACTCCTGCGCCTCCGCCAGTATGCCCTTGGTCTCGGAAGGGCACCTGCGTCGGCCTCACCCCCTGCCAAGAGGGAAAAAAGGAAAAGAAACGAAGGGACTCACCAGGCGTTTGAATCTCCTTCGACGCACTCGGCCTCCCGGACCACAACACCACGCGAGAGACTATCGTGTTCGGGATACTATTTCGGAATCGTTGCAACTTTATATAAATCTTAGTGGTTATGTCAATGGATGTTTTATTAAAGTTAGATATATTGGAGTGATTAGATCTGTAATTTATTGAGGGGTTGATTTATTATCCGTGTTTTTCCCCGGTAGGACGCGGTGTCTCGCTTGAGCCCCGAGAAGAACATAAACAAACCCGAGGAAGTTTTTTTTTTGTTTTTTGTTTTTTTTTTGTTTGTTTGTTTGTTTGTTTTGGGGATTCTTTTCTTTATTCTGGCCTCCGCTTGGCTCTTCGTTTCGGCGGAAGGCAGATCCTCCTGTTTGGACTTTTTGGTTTCGTCCGATTCTCGTTTTTTCTTTTTTTCTTTTTAAGGGGGGAGGAGGAGGAAGGAGGAGGGGGGGAGGTTGGCGTTTGAGCGAAGGTCGTTTCGAATTTATAACGTGAATTATTCTTTATTTTGTCTTTATTATACGATTTAACGACGAGGAGAAATCACGCCTCCCTAAAGCTAGACACGACTTACTCATTCTCCAATAAAATCCACCTCCATCATCCACAGAACGACACGAACCCCGACACATGAGTCACCGCGAATATCCTACTATACATTACGGGAAAGTGGGCGAAAAGTTACGAAAAACCCGTCATTCCCCAACACGTGAGCCAAACTCAGCGACTCACAAGTGTTGCGCAACTCGAAGGTCTTCAAGTCCTTCCTGTGGGACTGATAGGTGGCCTTGGAGGGAGGGAGAGAGAGGGAGAGAGAGAATGCCATATACTGCTTTTATTTATCATGCTTTGTTATTGCTTTTAATTCGTAGGGTTTCCATTTCATGCTAATCATTCTTTGATATTGCTTTTAATTCGTAGGGTTTCGTCTGCACGAATCGAAGGAGACTCGCGTGCCGTCCCCTTTCGTCTTATCAGAGGAAGTGTGATTTTAGCGCACACTTAACAGCGTGGAGATAAGGCTCCCAGGTCGCGAGTGGGAGTGCGTCATATGGTAATTCATTTGGCAATTTGTCGGTTCTCGAAATAAAATCGCGTCGATATTAATAGCCTGCGTGTCGACCTGTCACAGAAATCGCCTGATAAATTGATATGTTTATTCCGATTCATCTCGCGGGCGGGCGTCCGAATAAGGTAGATTCTGATCGTGGCCTTGAATCGTATAAGGAAATGCTGAAGAGCTTCCTGGCGACTACGTATGTGTAGTATGAACAGGCAATATTTCAAGTGTTGTACCAGCGCGAATTTTGATCGTTGGAACACCTGTGAACGAATGTGTGTGTGTGTAGGAAAGGAGTCTTTCAATACCTGGGGAAAATGTACTTGTTCAGCTTGTTGCAAATGGAGCCTTTAATTGGTGTTTTTTTTTCTTCTTCTTTTTTTAAGGAGATGCCAGTTATTCATGACACGTTCACATTGATATTTCATGCATATGCTTAGTTTCTGTGTGTGTGTTTATAGAGTAATGTGATAGATATAGCTGAGAAATTATTCATTACTGTTACTGAAAAAAAAACAGGGGAGGGACCCTACCCTTTCCCCCTCACTCCCTCGCTTCCATATCTTTCTGTGGATAGATAACTTATATAGTTAGTGTATGTTCATATGTATGTGTACCAATACGTTAGTTTGTGTGTGTGTGTGTGCGTGCGTGTGTGTGTGTGTGTGTGTGTGTGTGTGTGTGTGTGTGTGTGTGTGTGTGTGTGTGTGTGTGTGTGTGTGTGTGTGTGTGTGTGTGTGTGCGTGCGTGCGTGCGTATGTGTGTGTTTTTATAATATCCAGACATGTGTATGCACCTATATATATGCGTAAATATTAAGGAATTAACTGATATAAAGCATCTCAATTGCAATCGGTCTCGGCGTTGGTGGTCACGTGGTACAATCCGTTACACATCGCAAATCACCGACTCACACACTTTTTCCCACATGCTTTCACACGATATCTACTACAGTCTGTTATTCTGAACGCTAACGAAAATGTTCTTCCATCTACGTTACTTTTTAATTTTGTGATATGGGAGGATCGTGGTAGGAGTGAATAGAACAGGTATAGTTATACATTTCCCGCTAAAAATATATATACCTAATATTTGCCTTGGTCTACTCGCGTTTTTATTTTCCCGCGTAGTTGACTTGATATCGAATTCATATTTATTTTAATGATAAATGTTCTTTAGTTATATTTTTGTACTTAAATATACATATATAGCTTCACCGGTGTCTTGTATTTCCGTGGTGACCTTGCAATGATTCATCAGACATGCAACCTCGTCAGCAACATCTCTGCAGTCTTCCTCTTGCACCTCGTGGCCTGTGCCTTCACACTGTCGTCATCTTTTACAAGCAT